AGAGCAGCTTCCAGGAAGCTGAATTGAGTGCCCACAAAACCACGTCGCCTGCAGCGCTGTGTAGAGTGTCTCTCCTCAGGACTGTGAGCGATGATGTTGCCTAGTTTGATATTTTACCCTTGGAACAAGCCTGTCATCAGTCGACATTGTGCACAAACAAAAAAACAACTAAGCCAGTGGCCTTACTTAGGAAGCGGTTGTCTTAGAAATTTAATCTTTTCCCCATTTTTTACCCAACACCCTCCTCTAATCAGGTTTCAATTGACTGCCATTGAAGGACGAGCCTGTCCTCAGACACATACTGTATGTAGGTCCGAACCCAGTCAGACAGCATTTAAGGCCCACTCAGTCTTCCTCCCAATATCTTGGAGAGCTCAGGGCCAAATGATTTAATCTTCATTCAGCTAATTTAGTCTGGATTTAAGCTGCCGTGTTGTCGAAGTGCAGAGTGATGGAGTCTGAAAACAGGATGAGGGTAAGGGGGGTAAGGCAGCGAAGGGGGAAGAACGGAAGGAAGGAGAGAGGGAGGAAAACAGAGCAGGGGCGAGATAAAGATAGAGTGATGGAAGGAGAGAGACAGAGAGGAGGAGGAGGCTGAAGATGATGATGATCCATCCTGACCCTAGTGAATGCTGTCATGTTCCTCCCTCTAGGTAATCTCTCTCACTCACTCGCTCTTTTGCATGTGAAAATGCTCTCCTGACAGTTGCATATCAGATAAATTTTCTCTCTTTTTCCCCCGTCTTCTATTCAGGCCCCTCCACCCTCCCCTTTTTTCTCACCAAATAAACAACAGTCTTCACTTTGAAGTTGTCTGTTTGTGTCAGTTTGGCTCGGGGCGAGAGTCGGCCTCTCTCCGTCTTTTCCGTCTCGGCGTTGCACGGTGTGAGAGCATCGCTTGGTTACTTCCACTTACCCTGACTGGACAACACGAGAAGGAAATCAGAGACGGAATAATAATATGACAGAAGAGCCGCATTAATTATTAACATAATTATGATTTTTGAAAATGATTATTATTTCCACTATATCACACAAACTAATTCCCACTAATTCTCATCAAGATTGTGGTCCACAGTAAACAAACACCTTCAGAGGCACCACCTCACCACTTGGGGCTGATAGTGAGTCAGGTCTTTCCTCCCCCTGTTATAGTTACTGTATCTATTCCTTGGAGACTTTATATCTCACTTAGGGCCAATGTGGCCTGTGATGTTCTGACTGCAGCCCTGTATGACTGAACTGGTGACAGGATCACACCACCACACAGTATAGATGTGATAATGAGTGACAGTATAGACACAGCAGTGTGAAGCCGTCACTGCATGTACAGGGAAAAAGCCCGACCTGCAGTCTTTGAAAATACCTGCCCCGGCTGTCAATCACGCTACGTTGCCTTATGATCAAATGAGGGATTAATTGGAGGCAGTATTGTGAGGGGATAGATGGAGAGATGGAGTTATATAATAAATTATGTTTTCATCTATTTTTGTTTTTAATTTTTTATTAGTCCTGTCACGAGCTGCTGCTCAGTGTCACATCATAATTCAAATGATGGGAAAAATGATAAATCTCAAACACCAGGATTTCAATAGTCTGCATGACTAGCATTTCAGGAAAACTATTTTGACTTGATGATAAACTAGTGTCGAAATTATTGCAGATAATATGGAAAACATTTGGAAAGAGAAGTTATTGACAGGTTACTGACTGGCTGTTAGAGTATCTCTGTACAGAAACTCTATATTCTCACGTGTATTCAGGGGTTACAGTCAGTATTTGTTTTGATTGTGATTTAAACAGATCCTGCATGCATTTTAAATTTAAAGTGGGCAGTAAAATAATACCAAAATTTAACCCGAGGGCTCATTTGAAAGTCACACCTGAAACTCTACGAGACCTGTGATCCCAGGGTGCATTGCTGCAGAATCTCAAGTCCCTGAAGTTTTATTAGCAATGTTTTTACTCAACACATGTGTCTTTGGAGAGACACGCAGGGGAAATAAGTGATACATATAACAATAGCTGCAGCTAACGATTGTTTTCATCATCAGCTCATACTCGGAACGCTTTCTTCTTTTAGAGACCTCGGTTTTTTATATATAAATCTATTTTTATATAGTTTTAATGTAACACCCTTATCTCTGCTTCAAAATATGGTTTGGCCTTTTTGACAAGGTAACCAGTAACCAAATAACATCAAATGTCTGTAAATGTTGCTTAAGCTGTTCTTGTTAACCATTCAACTGACGACAAATACTTTATTGTTATTTCCCTTGATCCTAAACATTCACGAGGTCATCCTTTCAGAAACCATTTTTTTGCAATGGCCGTGACTCAGCACTTTTTGTTCAACAATGAAAGTTTTGTCTATCTACTTGAAAACATTTTTTCCCAGCAGTCCAGTCCAAATCTGTCTCTTGTTAGAAACCTGCGGCGTGTCCTGAAGAGGAGATTTAACCAGTGTCAACCGCGGACAGTAAAATAGCTCATGTCATTTATACTCCAAGCAAAGGCAAAGACATCCACATGTTAAACTATTTGTGTCCTCAATTTGAAAAGGAAATAAAAAATGTTAACTAAAATGGGAGGAAAAAATACGTCTTGGCAACTTTTTGTTAATTTCTGGAGTATTTTAAGACAGAAAATAACTAAGGAAGTGGGTCAAAAAACTGGAAGTCTTTATCTAGAAAGTGTGTTTTACTCCTTGAAGATAATATACTTTTTATGTTTTGTTTTGTTTTGTTTGTTTGTTTGTTTTTTTCAAAATCGCTGTTTGTTTTTTTTTTACTATAGTTATACATTGTACCTTCAGGTACATTTATTTTCCAGTTTTGAAGTCGTTAGATTTCCCTGTCTGTCTACTGTGTTTCTCCATCTTCCCCTTCTCTCCCTCTCATACGCTCATGCATAAGTAAGCACATTTACTCTGTCTATCTCCCTCTCTCTCCCCTCTACCTCCTACCTCTGCTTTTGCATGGTGGCTGGCTGTTTAGAGGCACTATGCATATGTATGGGCGGGACGGTGGATCGTGACGGGATCTGACATGTGGGGACAAGATCAAAGCACTCCATCTGATCCCATAAAAACACACGCAAACCCTCCTCTCATCCTTACAAAACCCCCAATGATAGTCAACTCTGCCAGCTATGACTCCTCCATCTTCTCTCCTCTCCTCTCCTCTCCTCCTTTTTTTTCTCTCTCTATCCCAGCATCCTGTGTGCCCACGTCAAGGCCTGCCTGCCTGCCTGGCTTTGCGATTACGCCCTGTGATAAACAATGGCCCGTTTAGCTCATAAAGCAGGAGTGTTGTGCATAATGTTTACAATAAAAGATAGCATCTCTTCACTCATCTTATTTACCTCTCCCACGACGGCCCGGGCGACGAGCAGTTCTATAAATACCTCATGGGAGAAGGAAAGAGAAGGAAATACTGATGCAAACTTACATCTGTTTGGAGGAATAAATAAATACTCTGCCGTGTCGGGTGATGAGAACGAGGGCAAAGTGGGTGATGTTTAAATATTTCAGCGCAGACCGGGGTCATAAAGTCGCATTTCGAAGCCGCATCCTTGCGACTGAGCTTAAAAATGTACTTTAGGTAGCTTAGGGGTAAATTTATATTACATTTAAATGAATCTCTACGAAACTTATAGAATAAAATGGACACACTTCTCCCTCCGTCCGTCCTCTCCAGCACTGTCTTTAAATCCATCCTTTTCCACTTTTCCCTCCCTCCCTTTCTCCCTTACACCATCTCATTCTCTTTCGCAACCCCCACCCCTTCCCAGTAAAGAAGATGTATGAGTTTGAATTATTGATTCAGACACATGCTACATGCTGCTTGGAGTCATTATTTGTTCAGGTGAGTGTCATGCTGCTCGCTATGAAACAGATACCACAGGGATTAAGCGACACAATCAGGACTTAAAGACAGCTGCCCTCCCTAAAATAACATGGCCCTCGCTGCAAGACGAATGCTCCCCAAAACCCGACTTCATTTGTTTATGACTTGCACATTAGTCATTCTGTGCCTAAATTATAGCGCTGGGGTAAAGATTAATTCAAGCACAGGCTTTTTTTTCTATTGTTTCTGCTTCAGTGTTTCTGTTGAAGCCCTAATAAGAGAGCAGCTGACTACTGTATAGATGCGAGCTTCCTATACATAGATAAAAAAAAAACACGACCATTCTGTTCTATATAGAAAGGACACATGTCGCGTTTTGATCCACATATACTTTTTTTTATTTTCTTGGGAAACATTTGTGAGCATTATGAGCAAAAATGAATCCACACAAACACCTAGTGCTTTTAGCCCATTATCACTTTGATTTCAGTGATATGAACATAAATGACTGAAAAATTAAACTCTGACATAGGAACAGTAACAGAGAGCTACGAGGGCGAAACACTGCTAACTGTTCATTTAGCCCTGGCTAAGTGGTCAGGGAGGCTGGACAGGTGAACTCCATTTTCCCCCTTTGGCCTTGTGGTGTATATATGCGTGTGTGCCTGTGTGCAGGTCACGCTGTTTGTGTGTGTGTGTCTGCACGTGTGTATTTGTGTGGACTGTTACAGAATTTCTCTAGTCCTCTGGGCCGTGGTGCAAAGCAGAGAATAAATGGTGGAGGTGGCAGGCCAGGACAGAAAAATCAATGCCTGCTTATACAGACATGACACACCAGCAGCCGACTGCATTCTTTGTGTGTGTGTGTGTGTGTGTGTGTGTGTGTGTGTTACAGGCTTTCCCTAAATGCCAGTGACTCATGTTGATAATAACAGACTCGCCCACACAGCCCTGTGCTCCGTGGCTGTGAGTGTGAGTACCCAGCAGCCCCCATTTCCTTTCTCACAGGGTAGATTTTCTAGCATTTTATGTCAGCTTTGGGATCAGTAAATAACTGTACGTTTTTTTGCCCCTCTTCTCCTCCCGCTCCTCCTCCTCCCCCTCTTTTTTATCCTGCTTTACTTCCTCTCCGCCTCTCTTCTGCTCCTGCAGGAAGTTTGAATGCAAGTTGTGCGACCGCTCCTTCAGTGAAAAGTGGGCCCTGAACAACCACATGAAACTGCACAACGGGGAGAAACCGTACAAGTGTGCCTGGCCGTCCTGCCACTACTCCTTCCTCAACCTGTCGGCCATGAAGGACCACTACAGGACACACACTGGTGAGACACTCAGATGCTAGCCACCTCCACTGCGACCCATTTACTGCTCTGAGCCTACACCAACATACTGACTTGGAAGTAGAAAAAATTCAGTTCAATTCCTTTTTTTTTTTTTTTTTTTAACATTCACAGTTGTTTATGAGTGGAGGACAACAAGTTATTTGTCTAGAAACACCACATTTGGACAAGACCAGTTTTGCTTTTTTCATTTCTGAAGAGACGCACAGCATCTAACAAAACAGTGTTGGTGTGGTAACTGTGAAAATCTCACATTAATTATGAATCTTCACAGCTTTGTTTGAAATAAATATACACACGTTTTTTGGCTGGGGGCGGCCATGACTTGTCCATCTGTACTGATTTTTCAACATCCACAGAAAGTCAAGAACTAGTTCTTGGCACTTTTTGCAGCCAGGCTGTCTTTTCGAGTGGTTAAAACCCTTTACCTCCAAAAAAGACCATCACTGTTGTGTGAAATCAGCCAAAACAAATCTTTAGGAGTCGTTAAGTTGCAAAAAGGAAGAAAACTTTTTTGAATTCCATGTTTGTTTTTTCACTTGAAGTCTTAGTGTGGTGATTATTTGCGTGTATTTTAGGACATCCATCTGGTCGGTAGTTCTTGCTCATCAAGTGTCCATTAATATGACTCTCAGCCACAAAAACAACAGCAGTTTTAATTATTATGGTATATATTTTAAATTATTTCAACATGAATCTAGATAATTACTGCAGCCAAAGTGTCGTCTTTGCCCCCTGACACCGCTGCACTCACAGAGAACCTGAATAACAGCTGTTAGGATAAAATAAGAAATGTAAATTTTATCATTTGAATCTCGCTCTTAACATCTGTAATTTATGTACATACAGCAGTGTCTACAGCATATATACAGTGGCTTTGTATTTACAGCCTTCCCCTCTCACTCCTCTAAGTGCAGAACACTCGGACTTCTTTTGAGTTGTGGCGGTGTTTTTCATTTTCATTCCATCTTCCTTTCTAAAAACTTTGCGCAGACAGATGGTTCGGCGGGCGGTGGGAGGACTCTGTCTTGAATAATAGCCCCTCGATAGGAACCCAAGTCAGCCTCTTTGAAAGTGTCTTTATGCTGCAGCCCAGCAGTTTCCCTTCGGCCTCAGTAATGTCCCACACACACTGCTCCTTGATGCCCTTTTAAGTCCATGACAGGAGCAGCAGCAGCCAGTGGCCTGACAGTCTGACTGAGCGCTTGCAGGAGAGCCCTCCATCAGTCACGGGTGCCTGCTGTGTGTGTGTGTGTGCGTGCGTGGGTACGAGACGTTCTGGATGTTATTTAAAACGTGTTTTAACAGTGATGTAACGTCAAGAACCTCTGACATAATTAGACCTTTTATTTTCATTTGTTTTCTAGCGTTCATCATTTCCCATCAGGCGACTGGCATCGGCCTGTCACCTAACTGTCACAGGGAGAGGCGTGAGGTGGTGGAGAGAGAGAGAGAGAGAGATTGTGTGTGTGTGTGTGTCCTCTGTCATTATAGGGAAATTGAACGTGTAACCACGTGTGTGTGTTTGTGTTCAAGGGTATAAATGATTAACAGGATAAAGATGCAGTTCCAAAAATAAAGGTCTGGTCCAGACTAAGTTTCATTATTAACATTTAAAGTTACAATACAAAATATAAAACATTCTGTAATTTGCAGTATGCAAATTCACCCATAGAAGCCACTAAATCCCAAAACCGGATACCTTAAAACATTGGTTTTAATTTTTTGTCACCCTCAATTTAAGTTTTTTTCACCTTCACTCACTCTTTATGTGGTTAGTTAACAGTCAATGATCTGATTAGTCATGTTCCTAATAGAAAAAGTTTGATATTTTTGTTTTAGACCCAGTGACGGTTTTATGGCATCTTTTCAGATTTTCCTGAAAAAATCCAGTTCCAAATCTTCCTCATTGTCAATGCAAATTGTATGTGAACCACGTTGGAAAGTTGACAGAAACGTACCATCTGTGTATTTTGCGTCGCTCCTACAACAACATTCTGCCAAAAAAAAAACAATTTCTGTGACCGAGGAGTCTCAAGAAAAACCGTCCAGTTTCATCATCCCCTGGTCGGACTCTGTGACACGCAGATCATTCTTTTCCCCTGGAAAGAAAAAAAAAAGTTTACACCTTTGCTCTGTGTCCTCTGCCTCTAACGGGATCCATTGTTCCTCTGTGATTTGTGTGTTTTTTATGTTAATCACACATAAGTCGTGTCTGAGGGAGGCAGAGGAGGGCAGGACGGGGTTGGGGGGCGTGGGGGGATTCAGTGGTCGTCAGCCGCCAGGGTCATTTGTAACGGCTGATGAATGAGCGACTCCAACAAATAAATAAATAAGTGCGCCGCATTTGACCCACCCAGCTTTTCCCAGGCTCCCGGTCGTGGTGGAGAAGGGTGGGGGCGAGTGTGCGAGTGTGGGATTGAACACAGCGACAAGGCCACAATTGATTTCCTCATTGCTTCAGTTTGTCGCTTAATCTGGCGATATGCTGATAAATCCTCGCACTTTGTCAATTAATTTCCCTGAAAAATGAGACCCAAAATGGCGAGCACATCAATACAGCGGCGGATTCGGTGTCAAAAATTAAGCGGTAAAATTAATTGCCCTCCCATCCGCTCCTGCTAAAACATAACTAATGAGGGAGGCAATTATAGCCGCATGCAGACTCCTCGGAGGTTATTTAAAACACACATACACACACGCACGAGCACATACGTGCGCTGTATGGAGTGTATGTTCACACACTTTAGAAAAAGGGGTTATATATTTTGACTTCAAAGTTCATCCTTTCTCTCAGTAAAACCTTTGTTTAATTGCAGCCAGCAGCAGAGGTTGGGATGCAGCTTTGAAAAAAAAAAAGGTAGAAAATCTATTTCCAATCATTTAAAAAATCAGAAAGTTGAAGAGCTTTATTGCATTTGCAGGAATTGTTGATTTGGTGCATTTTCACATCTGGTGCACAACTCTGGAACTTCAGCCTCAGAGTCAGGGGTTGATTTAAGGTCAGAAGGTCGAGGCTGTAAAGGATAAAGATCAGATTATAGGGATTGGATTATTTCCTGTTTAGATAAAAAGGGAACTGGCCTTCAGCCAAGCACATCCTCCTGACAGCAGCATGTCACTCTGGTACTATCGCTACCTTGACATCCCCCTGTAGGTCCTCAGAGAGCCCACCACCACCACCACGGAACAACAGATAAATAGCACACATGTAATTTATCGCCAGCGTTTCCTCCTCAAGAATAATTGTGGCGACCGCAGCTGGGCGCAGGGATCGATGGCTATGGATTTTTCTGTGGTGGGGTCTTGTAGCTTTGGGTGTAATGAGAGAGAGGGAGGAGAGGGAGGGAACAGAGTAGAGAGGAATAACTGGTTGCTTTTTTCATGTGCAGAAAGGTCTGACCAGGTGCTTAGTAACCCACATAGAGTACAGAGAGTTAAAGTGGGCTTTTTTAAGCCATGAAGGTCTTTTTATTTCTTGAAGACCGAAAAAAGAGACTTTTAGGAAATAGACATCACATATCCAAGGGAAAACCCACATATATATATACATATATACATACATATATATATATATATATATATATATATAGTTTGTTAGTTTACCTGAACCTTTATTTAGAAGAACTTCAATTGTTATTACTGACCAGCTTCATTTTACTAGTTAAATAAGGTCATGAAATTATTTGTGCAACACTCTCCAAAAAGTTGAGATAGAGGCAAATTTACCTTTAAAAAATATTTACACTTTTTTTTCATCCTTTAGGAACTGATGCTGCTATTGGGGACAGTTTTAATGTTTGCTATTTTGGTCTGGTTCTCTTAGTCATAACACTAACATACAGGAGGAGGAAGTTTTAACCTTTTTTTTCTTAAATAAAAGCTCAATTTAGAAAACACCTCTTGATATCAGTATTTATGTATTTTGATGTAGTTTTTAAACCTTTTTGCATATTTTATTGATGCATCTGTTTTCTTCATTAATTTTAAAATGTGGATTCAATGCCTTAGTTTTACAGAGGAAATGTGATCACAAGTTAGGATTGGTTATTAACCATAAATTATTTATTCCTGTTAACGTGAACTGTATGGAAGTGTGAAAAACCCCAAACTTCCCTTTTGCGCTTTTGCTGTTTTTCTTTTCCTCTTGTTTTGTATAGAGACGGAAAGACGATGTTTAATGTGACGTCTTATCCTTTGCATTCTACTGCTTTTAATTCAATGTCCTAATCTGTAAACAACAGACACAGCTACCAGACCAGTGTACACTAACAGTTAGAGATAGAACTTTAAAAAACGCATTTACCGTTGTTTACTAATGCATTAGTGCAGTCAAACAATATATACTGTATATGTATACAATATTTATATATGTATATTTATGCCTATATTTACATATACATGTTTATATGTTCTATATGTTCTATATAACTGCAGTCAGACGCAGTTCATTTGCCCTGGAAAACATTTTCCCTTTGTAGCAGATTCTGCAACACAGATTCCATGAAAATCCGACTGTTCAAACAGCAATAGTAATGGGGGGATAATATTAATTATATGCAGAGATTGTTTTTTTTTTTTTTTAAAGGCCATGCGCACTGGGACCTGAGAGAGAACTTGTATGAACTGGCAAATGTACCTTTTTAGGGGTTGTTTTTCTTCCTTCTAAGTGGCACTGCATTAAAACTCTTCTCACAGTGGAGTGGCTTTAAGTGGGTACAACAGAGGGAAAACTTGAGTCTGTTTTTGTCTCTGCGGACTCGGTGAAAGCTGCTATCTGTGCAAAAGAGGAGCAGAGCACCAGCGAGGCCCAGCTGGAAGAGTCACCCAAATGTGTTATGGGTGTGTGGGGCTGAGAGCTGGAGTTCAACAACATCAGCATTGTGATGAATATTTAAGTCGATGGTGATCTCTGCCGCTCCACTGTGCGACACCCACAGAGTTTCCATCAATGTGCCGCTGCACAATATGGACACGGAGCAGCACCGCCACATGTAGCACGGTGTGCACGTGATGGTGTCCGTGTCCTCCGTCAGTGTGTGTGTGCATTTGCATATACTGTATGTCTCTGTCCATATGAAAAATGGTTGCGCACATGCATATGTTACCCTGCGTGGCTTTTATCACAAACATCGCAGTTTATGTGTGTGAAATGGCAGAGAGAAGGAAAGAAAGGAAGATGGAGAGAGGTAGACAATTCAAAGGGAGGCAGAGAGAGAGAGAGAAAGTGGGGACACCGTGCTGTTAATGACAGAGCCAGATGCAGGAGAGAGGAGTGTAAAAAAGCTCTCCACACTCCCCATCTGGAAGGCATCGCCCCTAAATGAAGTTGTACAAAACCATCCCATTGATAATAAAGCTAATTTTTATGGCTCTGACAAGTATGTAATTATGTTCAGCGGTGCTTTTCAGATTTTATCACAGTCAATAAACCACACTGGCAATTTCCCGTCCCCTATTTGACATATTTACACGGATCCATCTGATTGGAGGAATTAGTTAGCTGTGAGAGCGCTGATGGATATACACTAGTGATCTGTGACTTCTGCTCGGCTCATCTGTTAGCCAACAAGAGCCACTGCTCATCTGTTCACTCTGTCTTTTCCTTTTTTTTTTTTTCGCTTTCCGTCGCTCTCTCTCCATCTCCCACTTCACACTTCCCTCGTTAGTCAACGACTCCAAATCTCTCCCGTCTATATTTTTACATGAGCGCTCAGATTTTCTGTTCAGTTGCATTTCAACATTTGCTCAGTTTAAAAAAATCATCGTATTTTTCTTCCCTAGCAACATACTTTTTATCTGCATGGATTTGTACTTGTACTTTAAGAAGTTTGAGAGGAACTAGTTCAAAGATTAGGATTCAAAATTAAAGCAATCTTTTTGTATTTTACCCCATGATACAGTATTTGTATAAACATATAGATCATGTTGGTATGACAGATGATGAGCTTTACATTAATTAACCTTACAAGACATTACATTAATTCATGTTAATTCATTCATGATTAGGTGGAAGTTAACATTAGTCATAACTTATCAGATACATTTTAACCAACCAGGACCATTTTAAACAAAATATTAATTTAGACTTCTATATGGTTTACTCTACATGTAATTTTTTGTGTTAAAAAAAAGGAAATGATAAAAAATAAAACTTATTTAAAGATTTGCAGAACAACATTTTAGTGAAATATTTTCTTAGTTTATTTAGCAGAATTTATTTAGCAAAATCAAAAACAAGAAGAAAGAAAGAAGCAGTCCTTGTTTTTGTCTGTTCAATGCAAGTACAATAAAGAGCATAGTGTTATTTTCCAAAATCTCAGAATTATTTTTTATTTTTTTTAATTTTTAGGTCATTTTCTAATTAGGGTTTATCCTGAGTTTTATTTGGTAAAAATATGTGATAGAAAGTTTAGACTAAAGTAATGTTAAAACCCGTTTCACTGAATGTTGCTAAATTCTACACACTGTACCTTCAAGTGAGCCACTGGTTTTAGAAGGAAAAGCAGGAAACAACAATATTTCAACAGTCAAAATTCAAGACTTTCTCGATTTATTTATCTTTTTCAGCAGATAATATACATTTTTAAGTACTTTATCAGCAGAATTAATATCAAATACCACATCTTAATGTTTTGACTAGTTCATGAATTTTGAAAAGGAAAAAAATGTTCTTTGTAAATCATGTCATCTTTCCTTCTGTCGCTGCAGGAGAGAAGTCTTATCTGTGTGACCTGTGTGGATTCGCAGGAGGAACCAAACACGCCCTCACCAAACACAGACGTCAGCACACAGGTAAACAACAACAACAACACACACTCATGCACTGTAACAGCTACATTTGTTACCCTCTTTACTGTTTTACTTATACCCGAATACATAAACACACACACACACACACACACACACACACACGTACACAGACAGGCACCTCAGTGTGACGTGCTGCTGTCAGTGATGGGCATGTGTACCAAAATGGATGAGTGAATCTGAGATTTTTAATTTCAGTTATCACTTCACACGTCGCCCTGTCGCTCAGGGAAATTGCATTTTTCAGATAGACTGTCAATAACGAGCTTTTTTGTCGAAATTGGGACAGTGAAACAAACAGTGTTCTTAACCGTTGTCTGGCAGGGACCCAAGGATCAAGAGACCTGTTATAAATATTCATTCGTTCTGTCTTTTCATTATTCATTTTGTTTGCTCCCGGGGTTTCTCTGCCATTCTGCACAAAACCTCTAATTTTTGTCCTTCTCTCCTGTGTTGACATCTGTCAATTTCCCTGATTTAGCTCCTCAGTGTTTTCAAATCTGCTGTCAGACAGCTGCACATGATGTGACCGCCCTGTCCGTCATCATGAGCTTGACCAATTTTGGTGATACAGATATTAAAAGGCTGTTCCGGATGACTGTCTGTCGTTTATTTTTCTGTAACAGAAAGGTTGGAACAATAAAACCTTACATTTGACATAATTAATAAATATTTACTTTATAAGACTTCCTACATTTACTATGGTAATCTTTGATAGATGACCAGGCCAACATAGTATATAATGAACGTTCTCATTTATTATGTGCTGTATGTGTTTTATCAGAAAGTCCTAAAAATCCTCATCTGTTCTGTAAATGAATCAAGAAAACCTGAGTTTTTCCAGTCTGATCCTGATCTGTCTGTAACGATCTCCACATTTCCGCCCCCCAGGAGAAAGGCCCTTCAAATGCAAGCTCTGCAACTTTGCCTCCACCACCCAGTCCCACCTTTCACGGCACAAGCGTGTTCACACAGGGGAGAAACCCTACCGCTGCCCCTGGTGCGACTACAGGTACTGGCTCATTGACTTGAGTGTGGATGGGGGCGCTGATGCTCCCCACACAATAGTGCTGATGATCAGGGTTTAATCGAAGGGGTCGAGTGTGTGTGTGTGTGTGTGTGTGTGTGTGTGTATGTAGTGAGATAGCAGGTGGCGTGTTCGCTAAACTAAAGGCAAGGAGGGATGATTCTTTCTTTTTTTTTCTTTTCTTTCTCTGGGTGTAAGACAGAGAAAGAGAGATGGGTGAGTGGGTGAGGAAGAGTAAGGTGGACAGGTCTAATCTCCACAACATGGCTCCATCTCATCACTCTGCCATCATCAGCAGGCCTAGCTAGATACACACACACATACACACACAATATCATTGTCACTGGCAGGTCCCTGTCATTAAAACACCATCATACCACATCAGTAATTACACAGGAAATTGTCAGTGAAATTGAAAAAGTTTTGGCTGGCGTTGCACATCTTCATCTCTCTATCTCTCCCCCTCACCCTCCCTCCCTCTCTCTCTCTCTCCCTATCATCATGTTCTTCCTCGTCAGGTACTGGCAGAAGAGTGTAAAACGGAATGATCTCAAACCCATCATTGGTTTTAGATGAACTCCTCATTCATCCTGTTTTATTTCCTCCTTTGTGACAGTGTCATCTGAGTACATTTCCACGGCTGTGCTGCTGCAGTGATGTGCTTTACTCACAGCTCTCACATACATGCAGCCCATCACTAGGAAAAAAAACATTAGGGGATAATATTTTCATTTAAGGGATGTGTTTTATATATATTATTGAAACTTATTGACAACCAAAATATTGTTCAACCCAAAAGGGTTTATCTAGGGTTGATCAGATGCCAAATGTTTTTTTTTTTTTCGTGGTAAAGGAGAACCATGGTAAAACTGGAGTGTTTTATGTATATATTATTATTATTATTGCAGTAAATAATCTTTTTTTATAATATGATTGAGAAACAGTAGACTGACAGGCGCTGCAGGACCATCAAAAGTTGTAACATACTTAATTTATTTAGTTGTAAGATTTTGTAAATCCACACGCTGGCGTCATGTTGTTGAGAGCAGAACTTCTACTATAAACCAAACCAAAAGTCTGGCTTTGATTCTTGGAGCTGTTCACAGTTGTTGGATCGTTGATTCGTGCTCTGACTGAACATATCCACTCTAATGAACTCTGTTAGGAGGAAAGGACATCAGAGAGAGCGACTGTTGCATGATGAAATGCTACAGCACTAAATATGAAAAATACAGTTAACAATAGGAATCGTTTTTTTTTTTTTTCTTTCTTTAACTTGAGGGCAATTTCTGGTCTCATGTGAAACCAGCAAACTGTACAAAAAGCCTTATCAGAAAGATACTGTACCGTGAATAAGCCAAATGGTCCTGGCCCCATTGTTAAAGCCTTGGTACTTAATGATCATTACAGATAGCACCAAATGAAACAGTAAATTAGAAGCCCAATTAACATTTTGGAGGCCAGAGGGGTTGTGGGGGGGTTCAGAGGGGAGGGATTAGGTTGCGTGGAGCAGCAGGGAGGTTGGGGAAATGCCCCGCTGGCTTACTAATGTGGGGAATTGAATGTGGGGCCCCAGACGGCCTTAAGGGGCCTCACCTCGGCCCTCTGTTCTTATGCCCTGGATCCACGTTCAGATCCTCGATTTCCCTGGTGGTTTGACGAAGATGATTTAGCACATTTGACCTTTTAGTAAGGATCTGGACTATGAGTAATAAATATGCTGCATGTGTAAAGACCTATTAAAGTCTGAGTGGAGTGATTCACAGTTCTTGGTTGTAGAGGTGAGTTGGTCTATGCTGTTAAAATGGCACATTATAAATGTGGTTGTTGAGACTGTTGGTATCTTATTGCTACAGTGTTATCACCACGAAGGCTCCTTCACAGATGCATTTAAATGAGCAAAGAGTGAGGGATCCATCAAATGCCACTCACTTCCTTTTGAGACACAGATAATAGTGAAGTGTAATTATAGCCGGAAAAGGTGGTAAAACATATTCTAATGATATTGCACAGGGCATCGTGGACTGTCAATTAACGTCGTCTATTTGCCTATTCTTTGCTATTTATGCACGCTGCAAAACTTCACTCTTAAAGGAGTCATTTGTATTGTTCACAATAAGAAATTCTTTATCTCCTTCGAGTCACGGTGGCATCTTAAACAGTCTAATTGATATGTAACCTCTGACGCCTGCCATGCTGGCCTCTTCCTGGGGTAGTGTTGTTTATTCAGTGCAGCCGCATTCCTGGTTTCAATCTCGCTGTTGAAGCAGCGGTGGCTTTGAGGATGACGTCCTAACTGTCAAAGCCGAGAAGGTGCGTGACCTTGTAAAGTGAAGGGACAGTAGTGGGAGGAGGAGAAGGGGAGTTGTTAATGATGATAGTAGTTTCTCTCTCAGAGTGAGAGCCAAATTGAGTCAATGATCCAAATACAGCTCCTCTCAACTCTTAACACGCACAAAGAAATGCATTTAAATCTCCTCTAACAAAGTGCCTCTCAATTACACCTTTCCCATTACCATACACTCATTGAGAATAGGAATATGGAAATAGAGAGGATGGGGTGAGACAGAATGAGGCAGAGAAGGGCTGATGTATCCATCGAGCACCAGTTTGGTTGATTCCCTTGTTGAGCGTGTGGATGGGGGAGGAAGTTGAAACAGTGTTGGACTAATTAATACGGTGTACAGTAGGAGAACTGGTGTGGGCTTTCACTGACTGTGACACCTGCTGACTCCTAAACGCACGTTGTGTTGTTTTAATATGACAATTATGCCATTACCATATCTGAGAGATAGCGTGGTCCCCCCTAGGAATCCACCCGCGCTCTCTTTACAACCTTTTAGCTCTGCTTCAAATTCGATCTTTTTATGTCTCTGCTATGGAATAAGAAATCACTTCACTTCTGGTAATAAATGCATTTTAGCAGCTTAATTTGCGTTAATTTGTGAGCTTGTGACAGCTGAAAATTTTAAGTCTGTCTTTTTGTCACTAAGCAGAGGAAACAGTCAACAGATGTGGCCATGATGCGTTTGTCTGCGTGTTAGCATTTGTTCTGAAGATTGCTGACAGCAGCAGAATGTTGGTTAAATGTTTCAAAGTATCTGTCAAAGTAAAATGTAGTTGCATGTTTATTCTTCATCGAGTCTAATTTTAAAAGAGGTATCTAACTGTTCTGAAAGAAGGAAAAAAAAACCCCTCTGATTTCCATGATTGTATTGAAATGCTCTCCTTGGCACTTGATATTAGTTCTTATGTATTTATACATATATATGTACATATGTATTAATATATATAAATTATTTTAATATATATTATATTAAATATATATAATATATATAATGTGTTTGGAAACACTATGGTTTTCCAGTGAACTACATTAACAATGGAGGAAGACAGTTGGACAAAGGAAACCATACCATTGTTGTTACCATTGTTAAATCCAAGTGCAACAGCAATGACAACTCCTTGGGTTTATGAGACACACACTAGGCAGAGGAGCTGAGGGATTCATTTGTTTTGGGTTGAGAACCTCTATGTTTGCCATTTTACTTTTTGTAAATAAATTACAAACACATTTGGTTTCTCCACACTTTATTCTGTACCGTACCGTACGTATGAGTTTGATCTCAAGAAATGTACCGAACCGAGGCTTTAGCCTACCATAACACTATAAACATCTCCTCATCCTTCACTGATCAAACTGTCACCTTCTAACTCTGTAGCATTTCCCCTTTTGTAAATGGGCTACAGCACATGTCATTTCCCTTTGTTGTGAATCAAACCTTAAGCATTGTGGAGAGCCCTCGTTCTTCAACCCTGGCTTCTCCTCGTGTACTTTGTACAAGCGTTAACACAACACAGTAAGGGCCTCTGTTTAGGCCCCAGTAGAGCCGGACTGGACCGTGGCCCCATGATGGAGTGAGGTGTCTGTGCAAAAGTGAAAACAAATTCTCTCCTTGGCTGCTGTGAGCTATGGCACTCTGAGGCTTTATTGTCCTGGCCAAGGTGATAAGGGAGAGTAATTGCGTATTATACTGTCCGAGAATGTCAGGTCCAAACTGAGCACGAGTGGCCCATCCATCAACACACCATGCTGTGTGTTTATGTGCATGTGTGTATGAAAGCTTGTTCTGTTCTCCCACACATGTCTAATGTGTGCTAAGGTGTGTGTGTGTGTGTGTGTGTATTGGTATCTGCATTTTTGTGTTTTTGATGGTTTATCAGAACTTAGTGAGTGTCTTTACAGAGTTAGATGTGAGTTTACGTCCGTGTGTGTGTGTGTGTGTGTGTGTACATTTTTTGTGTTAGTATTCATTCATATTCTTACTCCGACACGTGTGTGTATGTGTGTGTACATGTGCTTGTGTGTCCAGGGCAGGTTTAGATAGACCCTAGGAGCAGGTCAGGCAGCATCATTAATCAGCACAGGGTTTGTATGTGACTCTCTGAGTTGACATTACATCCTACCACTGCAGTAGCTCAATGCCTGACCTGCCCTGTCTGACCAACAGCCTCAAGCCACACAGACACGCACACACATGCAAAATAGAAAAAAAACTACAATACCACCCTTAATGAAAGAGAGGTTTTTTTTGTACTGCGCAGTTTTTTTTTTGTGTGTTTGTGTTAGGCCCAAAGGTTAAAAAAGCAGTTTACATTAGGGATGTCTGATATGAACCTTTTGCCAAAATATATAAGATATAAGTGATACAGATATATGCAGTCGTTTTCCACCAAAACTGCAGTACTCCACAAGCAATTCCAGCATATTGGGCAAAACCTGATCAGATTTTTATTACTGGAGAAAAAAAAATCAATACTGATTCTTACAGATCTTACATAAGGTAATATCAGACCGATATTAACGGACATCTCTAGTTTTTAAGGAAAGTCTTTATTATCAACATAAATTCACACACAAAAATGTTCTTTATGTAAACGTTTGTTCATCTTGGTTTGTGAAACCAGGCCAGGTTATGATTGGGGTGAGGGTTAAGATCAGGCATACATTTGTAATGGTTAAGGTTACAGTAAGGAGTTAGGGACTCCATTAGGTCTGTGTGATGTCCTCACGACTCGTGCTGTTTCCTATAGAAAAGTAAAGGAAACTCAGTTTCCTCTGAAATGTCATCAAGTAAATATACAAATATGAGGCTAAGTTGTAAAGGTCTGAAACAATGTGAGAATAATAAAAGAAACTTTAAAACATACTGTATGTCAATAACAACGTATTAAAAAAGAATTAGAAATAGACTCTGATTCAAAAGGTCACTTTCATGAAGCTTTAAATGAGTTTACCCTGTTTAATGGACCAGCAACAGCCACTAGTGTGTGTTGCTTGTGTTTGTGGGTGTCTTGTATTTCTGTTCTCTTGACTGTCATATTTTGATCTATGGCTTTTTTTAGTATCATTTTCAGAAAGAATGATGTCTCTTACCCCTGTTTGCTTTACTTCAGATCTAACTGTGCAGAGAATATCCGGAAGCACATTCTCCATACGGGAAAACACGAGGGAGTGAAGATGTACAACTGCCCCAAATGTAGCTATGCCACAAATTCTCCAATGGAGTTCCGCAACCATCTGAAGGAGAGTCACCCTGACATCGAGAACCCAGACCTTGCCTACCTACACGCAGGTACTGTGCCCTTCTTTTGCTTATGTTCAACAGGAATACCAGGTTTTGTCATTTAGTGGACAGAGGAGTCCACTTATTTGGCAGCTGACCTGGGGCTAACTTTGAATTCACCTCAGGGGCTGTGTTTGAAGTAGCTTGCTGCTCCTCAACCACTGAGCCCCTGGTCATGCGATTTAGTGTCATCATCAGATGTGAACTGTAGTGCTTAGTCGTCTAGAGCTTTTTCCCAAAAGGGTCATAGCCTGATGTCCAATATTCCAGAGAGGTCAGATCATGGAGAATTCTCCAGCACCTTTCTGTCACTGGATCAGATGTGACCATTAAATGCAGGGAGAGGCAACTCTCAGATTGCTGGTCTAGGTTTCCCTGCCAATCAGTCAGCACACAGAGACAGATGAAATCTGGGTCTGACTCTATTGCTTCCCTTTGTATGCCGGTGTTCTTCTTTTGTCCTTGAAGGCCACCAAATTCAATCGGCAGAGTGGCCGTCCTTCCGAGGAGCAGAGAGGACACCCTTTATCCTGTTATCCCTCTGACCTTACATAAAAGCAGAATAGTTGGGAGGGAGACACTTTGAGAAAGAGGCCAGGGCAGGGACGTTAGTGAAAAATGTCTGCGTCTCAGTGGTACTATTGAAATTGAATGAATCGGTGGCATGCCTTTGTGCTTACTCTGATTTCTCTTGAATTTCTGAAACAGGTCTTAAATCTGTTCCACAAATTCAAGGACCTGTTCTGTGCTTGATCTTCTTGACTTCCACCTCTTCACCTTCTGATGAAACCTTTTAACCTTTAACTACTCTTCTAAACACATTCCACCTTCATATTCTCCCTGCTCTCCTCTAACTAAAGCAGATTTTTATGCCATTTCTCACCCTTTGACCCTAAAGTATCCTTCACCTTGGTCGTCCCACGGTATAGCTGACTTTTGTTTGCAGAGGTCAACATCATAGTCTCTGTTTGTTCTATTATTATATTTGATGATTGTTGGGTGAAAATGTCTCTCCCAGACCTGTAGCACTGCATGTTTACTACTAAAGAGAAAAAAGACATTTTATTAACTAATTCCAAACAATGACAGAAGAGAAAAAAGACATTTTATTAACTAAGAATCAATAGTCTTTTTTGTTTCATTAATCAAATTCAGTAAAATTCTTGATTGACTTGCATGAAACCAAAGCAGTCAAATTACAGGAGGCTTAAAAGACATTTAAATTACACTTGTGATCTTCCTTCTTTTCAAAAGAGAGAAAAAAGAGGTGTGGTGCTGGTGGTAGAGGAACGAGCAGTGTTTCATCTAACTAGACAGAACGAGACCAAAAGAAAGAAACGGGGGAAAAAGATTAAGAAGGTAGATGTTGAATTAACCTGCTTGTGATTGCTCTCTGTCAGAGTGGCACCAGGGCCAGCAGCGAGAGGCAAATCATCTGTGATGGCCCTTCCTCCTGTTCCCCCTTTGAAAGACACAGATCAAACGCGGCCTAGTCATGAGCCCTCGCAGCCTCTCGCACTGTATTGATTGACATCCGAACGTCTGTGCCGCCGCTCTGTCTTACCATATCACTCCCTCACTCCTTCTTGCTCCTCCATGGCATTCTCCCGGTTGCTCTTCCCTTCTTTTATTCAGCGTCACACTTCAAATTAAAGCCTCTCTCAAGGATGAAAGCAGAGGTCCTTCTGCAAACGAAGGAAGAGAGGGAATTACACCCACCAAGTGATGGAGGGGAATGATGATGAGAGTTTGAGGTGGTAGAGTGACTGAAAAAAAGACAGGAGGTCAGATATGTGAGAGGAAACATTGTTAGGAAGATAAAGTGTTTGTGGCAACTGTCTTTTCTGAGAAACAGAACAAGAGCCACAGGTAGATTGTGGTCTGAAACCTAACATCGTCGTTTAAATAATGCAACATGCTGTGGCTTCCTTTACTTCTTTTTTTTTTTTTTTTTTTCTTGTTTTGATTTTCCTTTGGTTCTTGCTCATGGCCTTCTTCTATTGAGATCAGGTTTGATTCTGATACATAAATCGAGTTGCGAATTCTGAAATCCGTCTGCCTCATTATGATTCACCATATTAACTGTGAAAAATATTCTAAAGAAAAATATTGAATATAAAAAACATAATCCTTAAAACAGAAAAATCACAGAGAACACATTTGTTGTATGTAGCCATGTACATGTATCACTATGTAGTATGTGTCTACTACAGTGGACATATTCATTTTCGCTCAGGAACATAACACAGAGTTAGGCTTTAAATTTCAAATGAACACAAGAGGGCGACTCCACTAGAGTCCATATTCATTGGCTACAGTTGGCCATGTAAAATCCTATTTCTCACTTGTTTTTTAACTTTAATTAACATTCACCAATTACGTTCAAGGTCTTTTCGAACAATTTTAAGTGTCCTTCAATAGATAATGGAAAAGCATGCTTGTGAACACGTCTGAGAACATCTGCTTTTAAAATCTGTCATTGTTATTGTCAAATTGCACTCCAGTTAAACTCTTGTCTCACACACACACATACACACACACACACTTGAAATCTAGAGATATCCCCATTAATTTTGTCAGAGCGTCTTCATCTACTATTTTTTTTTAATTGTGAAATAGTATCCTCATTTTCTACCAAGGTTCTAATTGCCCTTTCTCGGGGCATCGAGATCAAATGCTCTGTAATTAGCTCACAGCCGAATGTTCAGCTCAGTGCCTTAAAAGATAAAAAAAAAAAAAGAAATAAATAAAGTTCTTGGAGGCATTGTTGCTGCTTTATGCAGATTCAGTTTTTCCTTAATAATGTATGATGGATAGCTACTGTAGAGGGCTAAGGGGAGACCTGGCCTTGTAAGCGATGATCTTAATACACAGTTACAACCACAGGCAAATTCATTTGTTTGCATATAGATTTTTCCTTATTAAACAAATCTGTAAACAAATATGGATTTTGATGGCTTTTACTTAAGTTATGCATGTAGCCTGTCTGCGCAGGCTTCCCTCCCTCACTTTCACCTTCTGTTCGTCATGTAATGAAACATTACTCTCCTGAGTTTTGCGCTGCTATTGTGTTGCAGCGGAGTGTCGGATTGTTGAGGACAGGTGTGTATGTCATGCAAATGTGTCCTGGCATCCCAGCGCATATGACACTGTGTCGACGTCGTGAAAGAAGCCAAAGACACTGGCGTTAAAATCAACATCTGCTTCTAATAACAATGTGTTATATGTGACACGTTTCTATGTGGGAAAATATGTGGAGGAGAACAACAACAATGCATCACAGTTCTTTGAAAAAACACCTATAGGACATCAAGTCGTCAGCGTTAGTGATGAACCTGCGTCTTTGTGTCACCGTCCTTATGTTGCATCCGCATGATAGGCAGTAATGAAAAAAAGTCATTCTGTTCAGTAGGATGTAAAGTCAGATGAACAGGGAGGCTCATTGTGCTGATGCTGTCATGGCGGAAATTTACTTACTGACTTGTCTCCAACAAACAGGGTTTTTCAGCTTCTATACAAAACATAAAAAAGTGCAAAACACTTTTGACACCGCAACAAATAACAAGCTGATGAAAACTTACCTCGAGCAATAGGTTAAACTTAGCTACAATAGTGTCTGTTCTTAATATAAAAAAGTGTAAAATCTCAAAATTGAGCCTCAACAATAGGCTTTTATTTATCCCAAACAAGACAGTCAATACAATTTAAAATATATGTTTTAAAAAGCAAAATGCAGAATTAAAAAAAAAGTACAAAACTTTAACTTCTAATGTGGCTTCATAGAGTTGATTGATTGGAGTGATTACTGTGCTCCTTGACCTGCATGCACTGGACACACTCGTCTTAGGTCCCTTTAATATTCTGTATCAAGGGCAGAGCTGCCTCCTGCTGTGACTTACAGCCCTCCCTTTTCTTAAAGTGTTTACCAGCAGCACAGGGTATAAATTTCACTGTGACACAATGTGACATCCCTTTGTTAAATGACTGACAGGCCAGAGATGTTTCCTTCATGGTTAGAAATGCAAAATATTCCTTTGCACAACTGTAGAAACATAACTGGTTGCTTTTTCAAAAAACACTTGTCATCAGCAGTCGTGCTGCTCTTCAAGCCAGTTCTGCTTGTAGAAATTTAAAATCAGATCATGAATAAAATGTAATTCCCGTCATTGAAAAAGGCCGTGAATGCCATAACTAAGAAGCAACGATAAATCCATACTGGAATGGTGGATTAAATTTCATTCAAAGGCTTTTTTAGCATTAGCCTAATTCTACTTATGCTAGTTTGGCATTAAAAGCTCATTGCTATGATGTCTGATCATAATTAATTAAATTAGGGATTTCTTGACTATAAACTCTAGCAACTTCTTCACTGAGTGAACAGCAATTTGATAGCATCAAGTGTTCTATACTCTACTAGAGTCGAGGACAAATACTTCACCTGTTCAAATCCAATACTCAGACCGCGACCCACCCGTTTAAACTACTTTTACAACTTAGTTGTGTTTCCTTCTCTTCTACAGCCACAGCTTCAGAATGCAGTCTTGCTTGAGATATTACAGTTGAGCAGCAGCTGCTCAAAGCCAATTTGCCCCCATGAGACTTGCAACAAAGTGTGTGTGAGTGTGTTTGGTGGAGTAGCCAAGCGTTTTAGGAAGAAACACACATCGTCAGTTGCATGCGTCTCAGAAAACCAATACTGGGTGGGTCTGAGCAGAGCAGGCAGCCATTCCTGCATAATAACCTGCTTCAATGAGCGTGAAAACACTCCCAACTGGCTGCATTTATCACACATCAGCCACAACAAACGGGCTTTTGTTTCATCCTCTACCTCCATTCCTGTCTTCTCTTCCCGGCCCTGATGTGAATGCTTCTTTACAGCTGTCAAGTGTCCATTCAGAGTCTTAAATGACAAGTCCGATCCAATCAGCATGGAGACAGGGAGGTTTCTGACTGCTCCAAATGTGAAGTGATGTCTCCAGTATGTTTTCTTTGCCACCTTTAGGCCGTCA